TCTCATTATTTATTTTACTATTTTCTTTTTAAATATCTTCTTTATCGTGTTAAATACTGTATCTAATTAATCACACATGTTATAATAACATTCATATGTATGTTTATGAAAGATCTCTAGCTAAGAAAATGTATTATTTGTCTAGATGTATAGATCTTAAGAAGAAGTAATATAAAAGTAACAATAATATTAATATATTTAAATTAAGTATATTAAATATATCAAGTTTTTAAAAATATAATATACATTGAGCAAAAATTTCCTGTTACTATTGGAAAAAACTTGTATAATTAATGACTTATATTAAAATTAACATTAAAATTATCAAAAAATATAATTATATAATACTATTTTTCTTTTTTACTTAGCATATTAAAAGAAAAAAATTTTTTTTAAAGAACAAATAATTATTTTTAATTAATTAAGATTACAAAAAATCGAACAGAAAGAAATTAAAAATATCATATAAATGATAATTATTATTTTCTTTGCTTTAAAATTATACATTAAGTTAAGAATTCTTAAACTTCTTTACATTATATATATTCAATTATATAAAATTCAATAGATCAGTACGTAATAAAAATAAATTAAAAATTATATAAAATTAATGAAGAATAATTATAATATATAATAAAATAAAATAATATATAATAAAAAAATTTAGTTTTTTATATACATTGTACCTTTTTTGTGCTTTAAGTTGATTAGCTACATACTGTAGCAAACCAGTAAGTTCGATATTATATTTTTTAAATATGGCTCCACAAAATGAAGCGAGAGACTGAAGCCAAAGAGATATGCTGGTACCATCATGTTTAAATCTGTCTCTATCAGCACCAGCTAAAGCTTCCACTAGACAATAGCCAAGTACATCGTAAGAAATATTAGTCAAATATTTTAAAGAATCTACAACAGGTCCTATAACAGTAAAATAATTTAATAAATCTTAAATCTTAAAATCCATAAATATGCAAAATTATTTGTACTTTTTATTTACCTATAAGATTATCATACAACTGGATTTGTATAAGAACATAATCGAACAATACACCAGGTGAAGAATGTGTAAGTTTGCCTATTGATCTTCCTACAGGTTTTATGGTTTCTTTGCTTACTCTTTTCATAATGGATTTAATTTTCTTTTGTGCATCTGCTCTTTTTCTTAAAAGTGCAGCATGCTGCAAAGGTGTATCATTTTTCCATCGGGCATATAAACAATATCGATTTTGATATGGATAATATTTTAATATGTTCCATAATTCTTCCGCAACGCAACAGTTGCAATCCATAAAAGATAGAGAAGGCAATAATGCCACATCAAGAATAGTCAATACATCATAATATAAATTATTATTTTTATCAATTGGTAACTTATTCGAATCTAATGCACATTGTTTTATAGCTGTGTGACATAATCTCATGATTTTATACATTAAAACAGGATCATGATGCAAATTAGGACCCAAGACTATAAGCATTGGTAATAATTGATCATGAAGTTCTTCGAGATTTTCAATGGGCTTTGGAGCAAGAAAACTCTTTAATTGTGGAATTTTTCTACCTTGTAATTTTGGTGATATTATACAATATCTGAAATATAATAGATTAGTATCAACTTAATAATAGCATGCTTAAATTATATTCATTTATTTGAATTTTATAACATTAAATGGCATTTACTTGCGATAAACAGGTTCAATAAGAGATTGAATCATTCTACACAGCGCTAATGCAATAGGGCGTTGATCAGTAAGACTGTGTTCTGGTAATCGATTAAATAAGTTTTGTGCTACTTCCCATGCTCCTATTTCTAGAAGTGCTTCACATAATCCGAATTTTTGATTACTTGTATATTTATCCTTTTAAGAAATAATGATATAAGTAAAATCTTTATCAATAATAAAAATAATTGAGATAAAATTACACTTATTTAGATACTTGTGAATTTTCTTTTTCTTCTGGTATGTCTTCCTTATCCTTTGTAGAAATTACACTTAATTTGCGAACATATTCTTTTGCTTGTTTCATTGCTTGTTCATGCTCTTTGATAATAGTTTTATCATCTGGCACTAACCATGGCAATATGTCATCTAATTTAATAACACCATGTTGCAACATAAGTGCAGTGACTTTTTGTAATGAAAATGGAGTAGCATTGACAGTTGAACAATATTTAAATCCTAAAACTTCGCAGAGTACCTGCTGATCACTCATATATGAACGAATTAAAGGAATAAAAAGCGCATCATCTTGAGGTCGATTCTCAAAAGTTTCTAATAAAATATCAAGTACCCTATTAGGGTCAAGATTAAAATATCCTAGAAAAATGATATATATCCATCTCTATTAATGCAATTAATTTATAAAATTCATAAATAGAATATCAAAATATAGTAATTTACCAATAAGAGACTTAACAATTTCCAATATTGATGCTACTTCACTTTCTGGACGTTCTTGATTTAACTCCACTATAAGTTTAGAATATCCTTCACTTTCTTCTCGAAATAAATTAAATTTCCGTTGTTTATAACTGTAAATAATGTTGGATATAGATTTTGCATTCAAATCCATATATTGGATATTTAAACAAATATACATACTACAATTTCGTTTTCACTTTAATAAATTTAATTTGAAAATTCTTGTTTTTTAATGTTCCTACATCTTGCAATGTATCAATTTCTAAACGTTCCTTCAATATTCTATCTGTGAGAAACTATATAAAAAGTAATGACATAAATTAATTATGCCATTAAAAATATTTTAATAAGTGGCAAGTAATTTAATTATTTTTACTATTTTATAAATGATACCTTTTCTGATTCTTTTACAAGATAATAAAAATTATTCCTTTCTTCATTATGTGCCTCTGCATCTATTAATGTGAATATATCCACTATTGCAGATGGTATTGCTCCATCAATATTCTGTAGACAAATAAATTATAAATTATAAAAATTTTTGTTTAAAAATTATTATTTGACAAAGAATCATAAATAATATATAAAAAAAAATTAAAAATATAAATATAAAAATTACTTTGTAATATTATTTCTGATTATCTTACCGTAAGTTCACCTAATGTCTGAACAACATTGTCCCTTTTTATGTTCCCACGGATTCCATTTGATATTAATTCGTACAATCCTCTTCTCCATTCTAAAAATAAAAATAATCATATTAAAAATATAAAAAATAATGTAATAAATTTAAAAATAATTATTTTATATTATATAATAAAAATAAAATAATACTTTATAATTCTTGATTTATATATAAAAAAATCTAAATAATATAAGAAATTGATAAAAAAACAAGGATTTTTTCTTAATTTATTTTTCTATTACAACTTATTAAAATTTAAAATAGCAAATTGCAAATCCTTTTAATAAAAATATAAATAAATTTTCTATGATAAAATATAAATAAAAAGATATTCAAAAATTTATTGATATTTAAATATGTTTTAAAAACATTTAATATTTAAGAATATTTTTGAAATAATAAATTAAATTTTTTTTTATTGATGTGTTACTTTATAAAAAAGAAAAAAACATTAATAAAATAAGTGTAAAAATAATAGATTTTAACGTGCGCAAAGTTGTACCTGAATTAAAACAGCTCAAGCTGTTAGAATAGATTGAAAAACATAGAACCTCACCTGCAGTGTTGCCTTCCTTAAATTTGTGCTTGATTAACTTGAGGCTGCAAACAGTTGTTAATTGACAATTAACTCTTCAGAAGAGCGAGAAACAGGAGAGATAAGTTGCAACCATCAATTGCACAGAGTATGCAGTATCAATTCAATATTAATCGAACGCACTTCGGACGTTAACGCGTTAACCACTTACAAATCGTTTTTTCCATGTTTATCCCATGCTTTCCATATTTCTGAATTCCACACTTTACCAGCCATTTTAATTCCATGAAAAGCTTTTTATGATTAAAAACAATTGTATCAACACCACAGGTTAATAGACTCCATTTTCCATCATTGCAAGCGTCCTCGAAGCTATCGTGGCGCGATCTTTCTTATGCCACATATTACATATCTAGAATAAGATCTTTATTCTTAAAAATTTTTGCTACATAATTAATTATTAATATAATTATTAGTAAAAACATAGTATATTTATAGAAATATTTAATTAATAATATATTAATAAATTTGAATAAAAAATTTTATAAATTATTTATACAAAATTAATAAAGTATTGTATATTTCTCATTTATAAAAATATGTTGTATGTATTATAATAATATATATAGAATATAAATATAATTATAGAATATTGATTTTTATTGTGTATAAAGATTAAATTTATATTTTATGTAACATGATTAGCTAATATATGCATTTTAATATTGGTTTCATGCAAAAAAAAATATAAATATAAATATAAGATTATAAAATATTAATTGTATAATTTTTATTTGTATATTTATATATTTAATATATTAATGATAGATTATGAGAAAAAGAGGAAACAATTTTATTTTAATTATAAAAATATTTTATTTAGTAAATTTTATCAACTTCTATCACAAGCTGATGAGTTTAGGAACGCTAAGAACTATAGTTCTTTTACGTTCAAGCGTACAAACGAAAAGGTACAGACAGTTTCATTTAAAATAAAATCAAGAAACATCTGTCTATGTATTCTTAATAATAAGTAAATTTCGGTATAATTACATCAAATAATTATTACATAATAATACGCATTTAATATCATTATTAATAATATAACATATTTTATTATATAATTAGAGTATATAAATCCATAATGCTGTTTTGTTTATTATTTTTCCTATACTAATATAATTTAAATAATTATAAAACTTAATATTTATTTTGTGACATATTAGTTTTATAATGTATATATTTTATTTTTTTTTTAATTAAATTATATTTTATAAATTCTTTTTTTTTTCTTTTATTATTGAAGATTGGTTATGTCATATCGTGACAGTAAGTTTGAAAAATTTGTTTTTAGCATAAAATGGCTAAATCCAAGGAAAAAAAAGGTAAAAGTGCTATGAGCGAGGTTGTGACTCGTGAATATACAGTGAATCTCCACAAACGTCTCCATGGTGTTGGATTCAAAAAGCGTGCTCCACGAGCTATTAAAGAAATTCGCAAATTCGCTGAAAAACAAATGGGAACTCCAGATGTGAGAATTGATACACGACTCAATAAACAACTTTGGTCTAAAGGAATTAGGTAAATTTCATATATTTAATTAAATTCTAAATTAAAATTAAATATCTAAATTGTACATGTTAAATATGATTAATTTAAATAACATTTTATATTTTTAGGAATGTACCATTCAGAGTTCGTGTACGATTAAGCAGAAGAAGAAATGATGATGAAGATTCTGCAAACAAATTGTATACCCTTGTTACTTATATACCAGTTGCTTCCTTTAAGGGTTTACAAACAGAAAATGTTGATGCCAGTCAAGATTGATTTATTTTTGATTAATAAATAATTTATCTCAATTTATTTATATATTATTATTTCTATTTTTCTTTCCATTTAATTTCGACATTATTTTAAAAATTTGTTCATTATTTATTAATTGTTTAATTCCATTATAAATAAAGCAAAATGTAGATTTACATTAAATGAAGTGAGATATAATTCATTGTTAAATTAAAGCTATTTTAAATTTAACTAAATTCAAACATATATATATATATATAAAAAAGCAATGTGATTTAATTATTAAAACAATTCTGCTAATTGGAATATTTTTATATTCTTCTAAATAATAAATTTCTTATGTCAAAATGTCCCTAGTTAATTCGAATTATGATTCGTCATATAATAGGGATATTTTGTATGGTATAGTATTACATGATAGCTCTAGTGTAGAAATAGTATTACATACGACTAACTTCAAGAAAGTTTATACGTATGGATTCGGACATTACGATACTGTATTACGATTCGAATAGTTTACATTCTGAAATAGAAGAAGTGAGTGTAAGTAATATCAAGTGATTATACAAACATGCGCTAATAATATTATTTTTTTATTAATTCATGTATTCATAGTGGAATAATATAGGTTTGGTTTTTGTTTATATTATGCTGACATGAATTTGCTGATTTATTAAAATACCAAACGCGAATCTATCTAGTCCTATCGCTTTATTTACACGACTGTCGGTATGATATTTTTTTTTTTATTTTAATTTGTCGTATCACATTTTATCAGACTATTAATAATTTATTTATAATTTTATTTCGATATTCCTTAAATATTTATATAGCCAAAGTATTTCATTAAGATTGCATTTACATTCGTTAATAAATAACGAAGATTTGAGATAATAAAATCAGGAACCCATTGTTTATTGTAGCATGCAAAAGACGGTTAGCATGTGTGTGATTTTTCATATCTTTAAGTGAAAAAAGAATATTTATAATTGATTTATGCGTAATAATTATATGTTTTCATTAACTTGATTCAATTTGTTAATCGATTAGGCGGTTACTTTTTGTCAAATAAATCATGCACATAATTAATTCCATGGGAACAAATATGAATGCGTTAAAAAAAATTTCTTGTTCTCACATTTTTTTTTACTTTTACTCATTTATTATTTAATTTTTACAGTTGTAATTGTAACAGTTTCATTTTTTTTATGCGATTTATTAATATTATTAATAGTGAATTGTAATTATTTTTTTGTATTAGAAAAAAAAGAAAATAATCATATCAAAAGATAAAAAAAAATATAAAAATTTGTGTTTATTTTTTATCTGTTCTTTAATACAATTTTTGTTCTCATAATATAAATTAAAATGTATTCGAGTTTTATTTTATGTAATTATTTTTTTGTAAAATATGCATTATATGCCACAAAATAATAAAGATATTTAGATGGACATACATATATAAAGATACTCTCTATGTACTTCAATGCATTTCTTTCATACTTTCCTTTTTCCTTTATCCTTTCCTTTTAATATTGTAATTGTTTTATTAACTATCTATCTAACATTTCTTATTAAATATTTATATTAATTATAATACAATGAATGCTATTAAATTTTTAAAGATTTAATGTTTTAAATAAATTTTTAAAAAGATACATTGACATATATATAATTTTTTATTCTTAATTTAAAATTTTTATTTTTATTTTTCAATTTTTTATTTTATTGCACAATTTTTTCTATATTGTTTTTAAATTATTAGGTAGTTTTATAATGGAAGGAGGTGGAGTACTTACAGCAGAACGCAGTCCAGCACGTGCAAATTTGCATGTAGCTTTTACTGAAAAAGGAGAGGTAAAGGAACGCAGGGAAAAATTTTTAACAGCTAAGTATGGATCTCATCAGATGTCTCTTATTCGTAAAAGACTTGCAGTTGAAATGTGGTTGTTTGATGAATTAGAAAAATTATATGAATCAGTTGTAAGTTAAAATTCATGCATCTTGTAATTGAAAATCACTATATAAAAAAATAATTATAATGACCATATATTAATTTTTTTAATTTGCAGAATGAAAGTGGTAAAAATCGAGAAGTTGAAATTGATATAGATGAACTTCTTGATATGGATAGTGATGAACATAGACGAAGATTTTTGCAAGTATGTAATATGTTAAATAATTATTATCAGAATATAAATTGATCATTTATTATTTTGTTTTCTATTATAGGAATTACTAGTTGATACAAAGAAACCACCACATGATATAAATGTAAGTAAGTCTATCTTAATAAACTTGTAATCTCTTTGTTATTAATATTGTAATAATATTATTTTTCTTGAAACTAATATTGCACTTTTATTATTTTCTTAAAATTGTTACTTCATAATTAGAATTAATTAATTAATTTCATTAATTCTATTTAAAATCACATATTTTTAATGAATTAATAATCTTGATAGTATATTTCTTATGGTTTTAAAGTTATAATTTTACTCATAAACTTGTACTTGTACTTGTACATTAAAAAGTTCATATATTTATTTATATGTTTCAGAAATTCATTAATGATTTACTTGAAAAAGCTAAAACACTTTGAAGAATTTCTGTGTTCTTCTTAACACTTGTGTTTATAAGGACTTTTTTGAAGCATTAATAAATTTGCTCAGATTTGGAACGAGTCAAAGACATATTCAAGCCTTAATGAGTTGCGCACAACTCGCGACTCAAATGCCACTTTATTATACTTGGATCAAATTTAATGAGGAAAAGAAAAAAAGAAAAAATCCATCAAATGACTTTGCACATTTTTATTCTAGCGTATATTATTTCATATTGAAATCGTAAGCATTAGTATCTGACTTATCTCAGTACAACGGCTAACTTTGTTAGTTATTTATGTGCGCATCGCATATCAAGTAATAAACCTCACAGTACACAGAACTGCCTTGCTGTACGATCCATCCAATGTGATGTATAGTAGAAAACATTCTTCTACATTCTAGTTTTGTATGCATTCTATACTCCATTGTTCGTAGTAATATTTATGTTATTAAGAATGATTAACTAACAAAATATTTCCAAACACTGTAACTATACCAAATAATTTCTATGCATATCCTATGTTTATTGAATTATCCCAACTGAGAATACGATTGGGTTAAAATCGATTTTTTTTTATATTGTAGTGTAATGAATTATTACAACTTTTTATTTATTTTAGAAGATATTTTAAGGGAGATTAGATATGCAAAATTTCGCATCGAATGCTTGTATTAATTAAAAAAAAAAAAAAAAAAAAAAAGAAAATCTGTTTGATAATATAATAAAAGCGTGTATGTTTCAGATGATATTATCACTGGCATAGTAATAATTAAAACGTGGAAATGACACCTATCGTTGCTTCAGAACCGAATCAGTATTGAAAATTATTATGAAGTAAAAATTTACTCTGTTGTAAGTTCTATTATGATTCTTTTTTCCTTTTGGATAATAGTTGATTAAAATTCGATATTTTAAAAATTTTTGTTAAGTCGTTAAAAAAAAAGAAAAAATATAAACATTCCTAAATAAAAAAGATTAAATTTTTTAGATTCTAACATTGTATCGATAATCTTTTTAAATACTTTATTATTTATATAATCATGTTGTTAATTTCAAGATTTTAAATTTATATTTATAGAGGTGTTATACTCGTTTAAATAATATTTAATCAATCTTTAATCAATTGTCTTGAAAAAAAAAAAGAAAATAGATGATGTATATAAATACAAATCCTTTGTTTTGCCTCGTTTGGATAAAATAATTTGTAAACGCGTGATTATGTATAAGTAGTATAAAAAAATTGATATTTATAAAGATAAAATTCATTGTCACAATAGAGTGCAATTATAGGTGACATTTATACGGTTTATTGATGGTCATTTAACATACGAACTATTGTGTAAAACGTATCCATAGTTATAAAAGAGGAAGGAAATAAATTTAATCTAAACTTACGGAAACTTGAAAGATCTCTTGTACCGATATATCTTGCATTATTACTTAAAACTAAAAAAAAAAAAAGATAAAAGACTGCATAAATTAAATTTACCTTCCTCTTATATATATATATATATGCATATAGATGCATACAGAATCATTATAAATGGCATATAGAATGATAAGATGGATATATTATCGAAGATCGAATACATAATATCGGATGTTGAATGAAAAATTATTAAACAGAGAATTTTGTGTTTACATTGGATAAAAAAAAGCAATACCTACATAATATATTAACGATATATCTTCAAATAACAAAAAAATAAAATATTTGAAGATTATATTTATCTCGTATTGCGAAGAGAAGCATACGATATTCGTTAGTATTATTAAGCCCCAGTTAAAGAAGAAAAAAAAAAAAGAAAATATGGAAGATAAACAAGAATGATTTTATCCAAACAAGGACTAATGATCATGATTATTTTATGAAATATATTTGAATATATAAAGATTCATTTGCCATTTCATTGTTCGGCAAAGTGTAATCTTTATAGATCGTGATCATAGAAAAATGTATTTAGAATATCTCTCTACCTATCCTTAAAATTTTCATACAATTTAGATGAATAATATCTAATTAAGAAAAGGAGAAAAAAAAAATCTTGTCATCCAATTATATATATTTAAAACTTTATACGATGAAATATATGTGAATGTGTAATTAAGATTATAAAAGTAAAATTATACAATAAACCTTGATCTGATATAATAATGCAATTATGACGTGCTCATTCATTTTGATCGAGAAGTTATACGACATACTATATTACCGATGGATTTTATGTCGAATGAACATGTCAGAATTTAATCAAAGTTTATTGTATTAGAAACGATACAATCAATTGGTGCACTTGTGATTTAACATTGTATGCGACCTTCGATAGAATTATGTTCATCGCATTGATACATCGATACATAAAAAAGGAAAATGAAAAAAAAGATTATGAAGTTTTTAAATTTTATCATCAGAAGAAATGTCGTATCACGACTGTTTTGTTTTTTTGTTCTGCATTATACAATAAAATAGAAACGTGATCAAATGCTTTACGTGTAATACTCGTCGGCATGTGAAAAATGTTTCGTAACATATACTTACATATGTATCGTTCAAGCTTCATGTATCTAAAAAAAGAAAGGCGTAGGAATTTGTGTGTAATTGGAATGATGCGATTTCAGGATTATTTTCTTGGCAAATAGTTTTAAAAAAGAAATACTTAATGTTTCATAAAAAAAAAAAAGAAAAAAAAGGAAAAGAATAAACACGTATAAGATGGTACTGGAATTTCCCATCGTGTGAATGTTGGAATGTTAATGTTGTAATATGGAATCAAATTCATAAAATTCATAATACTCTTAAGTAAAAGAAAAGCACTTTTACACCGATTAAAAATTCTTCCGCATTCGTGGTATGATAAAAAAAAAAAAAAAAAAAAAAAAAAAAAAAAAAAAAAAAAAAAAAAAAAGGAAAAATTGAAAAAGATGAAATATTTAGAATGAATATTTAGAATTCGTGTTTTTTACGTTTTAAATTGGCGATATTGCCGTTTCCACGAAGAAACAATATTTTGCATCGACATGTACTGATTATGTAAGAGATTGTATTTACTTGCACAAACAAAATAAGAATTGAATAATAAAAAAATGTACGATTTCTCTTTTTAATCAATAATCAAATTCTATAAATAAAAATTTTGATATATGGTAAGTATTATAATGGCAAGTAAAACTTACAAAATTTAAAAAAAGATGTAATAAACTTTATTTTTTAATTTTTGAATTAAATCATTAGAAAATTAAAATCAAAATTAAATTTTAAATGCAATAATTATATTGTTATAATAAAAATATTTATTTAAAATTAATATAAGGTCTAATTTAAAATAATTTCAGCGAATTATATCAAAGATTTATTCATTATATTATACAGAATTTATCGTATTATAGAGCGCATAGCGGATCGTAATACATATCTTTATAGAAAAAAACATTTGGGAAAATTACTTGAATAAACATATACGAGATCGATATACATTCGTGTAAATAAATCTGCAATTGTGAAGTTATTTCTTTAGTATTACTATACATTTTTTTTTCATTATTTTGAACATTCGTAAAAATATGCCACTTGTATGGTATCATTCGTACTGTAATGTCATAAACTAACACTAAGTCAAGCGTAAAACACATTAATCGATCAGTTTCGCAATTGGAACAAGAAAAAGATTCATATAAATACTTTACATAGCGATGTCTCGAATTTGATATTTTAAGTTCTCATACTTACGAGTTCCTAATACCTATGAGTTTCTAATACCGAGTGCTTGTTCTAATTCCGCGCGTTTCTGTTGAACTTTCGTATAGAAATATCGACAAACAGCTTCCTGTGCCCATGGTTGATAATAAAATTCTGCTCTACGTTCCTCTTCAGGATTTCCAACAACATCTATCATAGTTTTTAAATCCCTTGTTTGCGAAATTATCCATTTATTGATAAATTGTTGAGGATCTTTAACGAAGCTTAAGAAAAATTCTCGATTTGTTTTTAATTGATTAATTGTTTCAACCGTTTCGTGAATTTTATTATCGAGACTCTGGATTTCCTGTTGACTTGCGGTGGAAAGTAAAAAATTATTCATTTGCGTTTTTAATGTATCATCAACTTCTACATCTATATCATAACACGCAGTCTGTTTCGTTTCTGTACCTAATTTAAAACCCAATAAAATTATATTACAAAAATCTTAAAATATGAAATATCTGCATATATTAATTATTACTGATAAACACCTTCAACGCTAATAACATGATTGATTACGATTGGATCTGGCGGATGAAGTAATGGATTTAAACGCTGTGGTATTTCAGCGAATTTCATCCTTGAACAAGCAAATATTTGCTCTAAATACTTATCACAATTTATAAATTCCCTTTCATGACTGTCTTGAAGTTTATGTGTCTTTATATATTGCCAAAGAGCGGATATGATAACGGGTCGCGTTTGGGTATGTACACCTAAAAGCCGTGCTAATCTAGGATCTAGTTTAAACTGCAACCAAAAAATTTTTCTCTTAAATTTTATTCATATTTATATTTTTATTTTATTTAATTATATTAGAAATATGCGAAAAATTTTTATCTTTATTTTAAATTATAAAAATTATGATATTCGTATCTTGAGAAATTTTTTTTAATATTTCAATTTGATTAAAATTTCAGTTTTGATTAGAATGCAAGTTTTATTAAGTAAGCAAAGAATGAATAAAAAAATATAGAAAGAAAGTTACCTGTAAAGGTTGATAGTCAAGAAGTAAAAGAATAGTGCATTGAACATTTTTATCTCCAGGTCTTTTTACTTGAAAACCATCTGTTTCTTGTGTTGTTAATGTGCGATGCCATTCAACTAAGTGATTATCAGGCCCATATAGATCTCTATCTAATTCTATAACTAAACTTTTAAAAAAGGAAGAAAACTTTCTTTTCACCTAAAATTGAAATATATATTAATATGCATTTTTAACGATCGTTTATTTCTTCTTCTACAATAATTTTCACCTTATTAGGATCATTTTTTGTATCATCTAAAAGACGTCCTTCAACTCTAAGTTCCCAAGATGCAACTGATCCTTCTTCGCCTTCACCAGCTTCTTTTGCCGGATAAAATGTATTAGAAATAAATATCCGTAATTTTCTTTTTTGTTTCATTGGACGTTTCAGAGCTTCTTGTATATCGAGTCGTTTTCTCATTATAGTCGCGTCTAATTTTCTTTCAAACGCGAGTAAGTCCATGTAAGCCTGAGATTCAGGTACTAAATCACGCACTTTTTGTGGCAATATTTTATCTGCCAACTTTTTCTTCTTCTTGGATGTGGAATGTGAAAAATCACTGTTCCAAAAAT